TAGTCCACGCATTACCATGGTGATAAAGCTTTGTTTCCCAATATCCGGATATGCAAATTGGATACGCCGTTGTTTTGAAAATAATATTCTAATAGTGAACCACCACGATATTCCCACATATCCGCTGATATGGACAGTTGGATTCGATTCTGTCCGAATGCACTAAGAAAAGAGTTTTTCCATTTCTCCCAATTATCACTGACCCTATCTAGTACTCGAGAATTGTACCATTTTACCCTCCAAGTAATTTCGAAGGTTACGAATCTTTTGTTCGTCGGTAACCCATTTGTGAGATGCACACGCGTGTTCGTATGAAATTATCCAAATACGCGCTTCCTCCGATTTTCCATCATATTTTTCTATATTGATCGTATCGCGTGATGGGTTTAGTGACATTTTTTCGATGGTATGCCGAAAAGAGTTCATAATCTTCAACGTCTCGGCTTGTTGGTCCATTTACAGCTTTTGCAACTGAACCATTTGCGCCAACACATCCGACTTCGGGTCATGTGAACTGTCCGTGGGAGGAGTACTGTCTGTAGCGGCCGGTCTTAGTAAAGTTTTATTAAGATAAAGCTCACCTTCTGTCTCCGATAATGAAATAGTTAGTGTCCGATAATTCGTCATCGTCCGGCTAGCAGTTTGAAAAACCGCCGAGGATGAAATAGCGGGATGATTTTCGATTCCTTGAAATTCTTGATCGACTTCCGTCCATTCGTCTTCCCCTTCTACTTGATATCGGGAGATAATGTAGGAATCTTCGATCTTCCGTACTAAGAATTTGAAAAGCATAATTCTATTCTACTTCTACTTCAAAACTATATAAACTCAACTGTGTACTGAGATCCTGTCGACTGCGCCAATTTGTAATATTACAAATATTCAGACTGCTACACTTTAACAAAAAGGAACAGTGATTCTAAGGACGAATGAATTTAACGTCCGTTTTCCAGATGTCCAGTCTGCAAGGTGGGGACCTTACTCTCCTCTATCCCCTGACCAAGCGATCTCTTCCCCTTCGTGACCCCCTCAGTTCTCCGAATTCTTGACCATTGCAGATGTGAAGAGTTAAGGGGAGTGGTGCTAATGAGTAGCAGATTTTAAACTCTGCTTACAAAACATACTCCAGTGGTAGTGTTCAAGACTCATGGGATACCAGATAAAACCATAAGAACCCAAACCATACACACTATATTGTTTGTTTGTTTGTTTAGTTAAGTTATGACAACACAAAACTTAGGCGATCTGCCTATAGGGAATGTCTTCCGGAAGAATCTTTTTAAGGTTAACTGGACCCTATTCAGGCGTTACAGACATGGAGAAAACTCGGAAAACTCCACATAGCCAGCCCGTTCTAGCGAGATGCAAACATATAACAGAACCACTTGGCCACTGATGGGGGCCATATACACTCTATCTTCCTTAATTATAACCAAAGCTGTTATCCCTGCACAGAGAAATAATCCATCTAAATGAAGCTAAATTTATGTTCAAGTGTGATCCAATCATCATCTATAATATCCTCAGAAATTGAAAAGACAATGTTAACATGCTTAGGATACCAACAATTCCTTTGAGACAACTGATTCTGTTATTATCTAAAATACATTGATTTTACCACAAAAATCTACCAAATAATCGGTCAAATACAACATGATGTTGACACTAAAAAACACAAAACTGTCCTGACAATGTAGTACGCCTCTGATAATGATGTGCATGCCTACTTTGACATCATCAAATGATTTAAACAATACCACTATATCAAGACACTTGAAATCATTGAGATATTTAAATCTGAAAAGAAGATTATTACATTAATTTCAAATATTTTAAAAATACATTATGATTTTTTCCTCACATTCTGTTTTGGAAGATCTTGATTTTATAAAGTAATTTTTATATGTAACTCGAAAATGTTCATCTGAGTTTACTGGCATTAAATGCATATTAGATGTTTCTTCAAAGGATGTGCTTCTTTCTGTTTTAGTGTATTACAGTCCCCTACAAAATTTGAATATTATTAAGGATATTTTATAGTTGTAAAGACTTTATAACATGTAGACTTATTCTGGCCAAACTGATTTGTTATGTAATTAGTTATTAGGCTCAACATATCCCAATAGATAATATGACAGATCATTTGGTAATAGGAGTGCACTGGGTTGTTGTTTACTAAGTAAATTACACAATATATTTATGTTTCAGTATAACTGGTATATTATAGTTGAATCCTTTATATTTTGAATTAACAAAATATTTTAAATGTTGAATATATTCGATTTGTTGCGTTGATAATTTTTATTATCGGATTGTTTATTATTTTCATATTTTAAATTTATATTCCTCTACACTTTTACTGTGTAATTATTGTTATTAAGTTAAGATGATTTGCGAAAATATTTAAATAAAATATCATGATATATTGTTGTTATTATTTAAAAGGGAAGAGAATATTGCAAAAACTTAACGGGATTAAATTTTTTTCCTTATTTTCTCAGTATAAGAACGTAACAAAACTTGCCATTTCTGTTGCTGTGATCAGAAGAAGAAAGAAAATAGCCAATAGAAAAATTTTTAACGTTAATTCATTACCTTGGAAATGTACTGATAGTACTCGAATCCCTGCTATACAGTCTCGACAGTTGAGTTTCCTTGCTTCATCATTATTTATAATTAAACACAGAACAAACGAAACTTCGTGACACATCAGTTTCTTAATATCAGTTTCTAAATATATATTTGAAAATGGTTTTAGATATTCGTGGATGTTAATCTTTACAAAAAAAAACTTAATAAACATTAATACTCTGAGTAGATATTATTCAAAATAATATAATGAATAATACTAATTTAAAAAATCGAACACGACATTTTATACTTTATATGCCATTTGTTTCGTATTGTTTTTTCAAATCATCTTATACTCGGTACACACCGGTGGCTGTGTACTATGCCGGACCAGAGTCAAGGCATAGCAACCAAAACAAAACTAAAATTAAATGTGTGTGTCAGTGTCAGTATTAAGGAATTTCCTAACAATATGGCATGTATTCAATATAGTGGCCTTCTGTAGTGTGATGTATGTATTTCTACTCAATTGTAATGTTCCCAGGCTTTTGTGTAGCGTGTGTGGTATCACACCTGTACAGGAGAGAAC